AAATGGAGAATATTATAAAGATCAGAGCAAATATGACAGTCTCTCTAGTACAAAAATAATAATAAAAACTGAAAGAGTAATAAGATCCAAAATTTATAATAGATATTATAATAATGAAAGGAAAATAAAGTGCTCTAAAGTATATAAATGTATATAAGTTTAAGTATGCAAGATAGATAACAATAGTACTAAGATTTTATTAGTTCATCAAACAGAATAGTTTGCACTGTCATTGTTTGATGATCTGTTGATTTTTATGCCTTCATTTTGTAACTTGAACAACTACTTCTAAGATAACAATATGTAATTTATCAACTAGTGATTTCTTACTGTTATTTTTTGACTAGTCATTTCTGTTTTTTTTAATTCTGTATTATTTCTACTCTTTTATTCTATTTGTTTTTTCTCTCTAAATTATAAAAATAGAAATGAACATAATAGAGACTAATAATTAATGAATTGAGTTAGTTCTTTGAAAGAATAAGCAAAGTTGATAAACTCCTAGTTGATGTTACAATAAAATGAAAGAAAAAACTGACATTCATGCAATGAAGAAACAAAAGTGTCAAATTGCTATAGATCCACTTGGAAACTTAGAAAATCATTAACTCCTACTTTGAAAATTTTTATTTGCATAGGCTGGAAAATACAGGAGAAATTGGCAGATATTTAGAAATATATGAATTACCAAAACTGAATCAAGACATGAAAATTTTGAATAACCCAATAATAATTTCAGAAACCAAAACATAATTAAAATATTACCAACTAAGAAATACACATGCCCTGATGGATTCACAGCTGAATTCTATATGAAATTTAGAGATGACTTAACACAATACTCCTCAAACACTTTAAAGAAATTGAAAATGAAGCAATTCTAAGTCATTATTAAAAGAACATATTACACTGATTCCATGACCAGAAAAAGATGCACTCTAAAAGGAAAATTTCAGACCAATATCTCTAATGAATACAGATGTAACAATTCTCGATGAAATACCACCAAACAGAAGGCAGAAAATTATCAAGTAGGTTATACACCATGAATAAGGGAGATTCACTCCAGGAATGCAGATATGGATCAAAATATGCAATTCAATACGCATGATATACTAAATCAAGAAAGCCAAATACAAAAATCATATGATTATTTCAGTAGATGCAGAGAAATCATTTGATAAACTCCAACACTCATTCATGATAAAAATATTACAATAGATTGTCACAAGTCAATCTGATAAAAATTTTCTATGACTAACCAATAGCCAACATCATACTAAATGAACAAAAACTGAAAACTTTCACTCTAAAATCAGGAACAAGACAAGGATGTCCATTATCACTATCTCTATTCCGTGTAGTTCCGAAAATGCTAACCATGGCAATTAGACAACAGAGAGAAATAAAAGAAACAGGAATAAGAAAGGAAGAATCAGTATATCAAAGATATAATCATATCAAATATAATAATTAAGATATCATTATTTGCAGATGACATACAAAGAAGATGCCACAAAAAGACTACTAGAGTTAATAAGCAAATTCAGTTGCCTAACTGAATACAAATTCCACACTCAAAAATCAATAGCATTCTTACATGAAACAACAAATTAAGTGAGAGCGAAATTATTGAAATAACACCTTTCACAGTAGCATCCCCAAAATGAAATACTTAGGAATCAATCTAACAAAGATGTAAAAGTTCTATATAATGAAAGTTAGAGCACTCTAATAAAGGAGCTTGAAGAGGATGTCGGAAAATGGAAATATGTCCCTTGCTCTTGAGTAAGAAGATCCAATATAGTGAAAATGGCCATACTTCCAAAACTATAACATAGATTAATACAATCTCAATCAATAGGCCATTAGCATACCTCACAGATCTAGCAAAAGCATTCCTAAAATTCATTTAGAAATGGAAGAGATGTAGAAAAGCAAAGGCAATCCTGGACAACAAAGGCAAAGCACGAGATATCACAATCCCTGACTTGAAATTGCACTACAAAGCTACTCTAATAAAATCAGCAAGGTATTGTCAAAGAAAGAAAGAAAGAAAGAAAGAAAGAAAGAAAGAAAGAAAGAAAGAAAGAAAGAAAGAAAAATAGACCTTAGGATCAGTGGAACAGATTGGAAGATGCAAGCACCACTACAAATACACTCAGCCACTTTATCTTTGATAAAGGCACCTCTTTACTGGAAGACTGATAGCCTCTTTAATAAATGATACTAGAAAAATGGCTTTCTGGGGCTGGGGATTTAGCTCAGGGGTATAAGCTCCTGCCTGGCAAGCCAGTTGTAAATTCGATCTCTGGTACTGATAAAAAGGAAAAAGAAAAAAAAAATGGCTTTCCATATGCCAAAGACTAAACTACACTCACGTCTACCATCATACACTAAGCTAAAGTCAAAACATATCAAAGATTTAAATTTTAAAACAGAAACAATAAATGTACTGGAAGACCAGGTAGGTAGAAATCTTGAAGACTTAGGGTAGGCAAAGATTTCATGAACAAAACACAGACTGCATGGAAATTACTTCAAGGTATCAACAACTGGGATCTCATATTACTAAAATGATTTTGCAGAACAAAAGAAATTAACCAACAGAATGAAAAAAGTCCCACAGAATGGAAAATAAAATTTAACTAACTGTCCCTAAAAGGACTCTTATCCAGAACATATAAAGAATTGAAAAAACCCCATACCCCCAAATTCAGAGGCCCAAACCAAAAACAGGCTCTGAGATGAACATGCACTTTTGAGATTAAGAAATACAAAAGACAAGTAAATATATGAAGAAATGTTTGACATCATTGGTTATTAAAGAAATGCAAATTAAAACAACACTGAGATTCCATCTCCAGAAAGACTGGCAAAGATCAAGACATCAACTAGTAACAAATTCTGGTGGGAAAATAAACTTTCTCCACTCTTAGTGTGAATGTAGACCTCTGTGGAAATCAATGTGAAGATTCCTCAGAAAACTAAGATTAGAGGTCCTGTTCAATAAAGGTATTCCCTTCCTGGGTATTTTCCCAGAAGAAATGAAAACATCATGGCACAATGACGTATGTGCACCCATGTTTATAGAAGTGCATTTTATAAAGCTGAATCTTGAAAACAACCCAAATTCCCATCAATTGCAGAAAGGATAAATAAGATGTATTTTTATACAATGGAGTATTACTCAGCTAAAAAGAATAAACGGTTCTTTACAGGTAAATAAAGGCAACTTGAGTCTACATGCATATGTGGAATAACTCACGTATAATGCCATATTGTCTCACTAGTATAAAAGAGTGAAAGAGCAAATAAGAACCAAAAGGTACAATAGATATTGTGATAATGAAAGAGAAAAAAAGTGCTTAAAAGTAAAGAACAATTAGATAGGGGAAAGGAAAAAAAGAAGGAAAATGATTACATATATGCAATATATAAATATACATTATTTATATTGTATAGATAACTATAATATAAAATATATGCAAGATAGATAACTACATATATATGCAAGATAGATAGCTATACTACCATATGCACAAGATAGATAACTATACTGCTAATATCTCTTAGTTCATCAAAAAGAAAAGTTTCTGTTTGATCATTTTTTCATGCCTAACCTTATATTCTGAACAACTACGTTGAAGATAACAATATGCAATACATTAACTAGTATTAATTTCTTTTTGCTTTACTTTGAAATTCTGTGTCATTGTTTTTATTCTTCTTTTGTTAAAAAATAACTGGCCATTGCTTTTGCTTGCACGGAGAATACTCACATTTATCTCTGGTAGAACATAGTAACAAGTATCCATAAAGTTGGCTTTATGTGAAGCACAAAGAAAACAACAACAACAATTACAATACAATTACAATACAATACAATACAATACAATACAATACAATACAATACAATACAATAGCAATACAATTACAATAACAATAAAAAACCACGTGGTCCAGGTTTCAAACTTAAAGAATATGATTTGAAACTTTAACTAGAGAGTCCCTGTTAAGTGCTACCAAATTACACCTCCATACCCCACATAACTATGCATTTGCTCTTCATTTCACATTCAATATATATTATTTATCAGACTTTTCTGTAATTATTTCTTCTATGTCATATTTCAGGTAGCCTTCATTTCTAAACATAATTCATATGCAAGACTAACAGCATCCTCAACCACAGAAAAATCTTACACTGCAAGACTCACAAAAATATCCTCTATATTTTGCATCTCTAAGCTGAATAGGGAGCTATGCCTAGAGAAAAATTTGCTTTTATTGATTCATGGTTAGAATTATATAGTTCAATATTGTAGGGATTCAGTAGATAAGGATGAGTGTCATGTTGTTCAGTATCTTTCATCTACATCATATTTTCATTTCTTCCTCTGTGGCCCAGTTAGGCTGCATTATTCTTCAGTAGCTGTGAGTGATCTGCTTCTAATGAACTCTGAGTCTCTTGTACTATGCCTCAACTCTGATTTTATCTGTGTCTTAACCTTTATTCTGATCTCTTACTAATTTTTTGGGATACAGTAATGTTTTGTTTGAGAAACTCAGTTTCAGTTAGGAAAATGTAACTTAGAAAATGTCCTTTTACATGGCAGGCTTAGTATTACAAATGGGCTGGGATTGAAGATTTGCAATTGATTTGAATTATAAGTAAGTGACTAAAAAGAAAAGTCGGGATGCTTGCTTCTAATCAGAATATTTCTAGAATACGGTGCGACCAACATATTGCCAATGTGATAACCACTAAAAGATTACTATAAGACCATATAAGACCCCTAAAGAAGGAAATGAAATCAATTTAGATTTGTAAGTATAAATTAAATATGTTTCTTCATCCTCAGCATCTTTGAGAATTCAGGGTGTATGGACAGACTTCTAAGAACTCTAAAGCACATCCACCTCCTACACACCAGGGATCAGAAGTCCCTGGTGCTCTTCATTCTTTTCCTAGCCAGTGGACAGTATACTGATCATACCTGAGCAAATGACTCCAGCATCTTCTTCATGCTCACAGTCATTGTTCCTCCAGTCTTTATAGAGGCACTCCAACACATGGGACTCCTCTCCTGTGCAGTTTACCTCATCCAGCCAGATGGGCCCTGATCCTTGCCCAAAGTGAGCAGAGAACGTGGCACTGAGGGCTTCTCCACAGTTCAGCTGTCTGCACACCACTTGGGCATCACTCAGGTCCCAGCTGTCATCACAGATGGTGCCCCAAGAGCCATGATGAAAGATTTCTACATTTCCTTCACAATGACTCTCTGTGTTCACCAGACGGAGTTGTGGGATTTCTTAGGAAAGAAAATAGCGCAGATATTTTTATTTCACTTAAAAATAGATTTACAATAGAAAAGAATATAATCATGGTGTTCAGTATTTACAGGAAATCAAGAATGAGAGAAATGGAGCTATGTTGCTCAAATAATATAAAATTTCAGTGAGAGCAGGAAACTAAAAGATTTTTTTACAATATGATGATTATGGTTTGAACGATGTAGAAGTTGATAACTGGGACGGAGGACTTAGCTCATTGGTCTAAGTGTCTGCCTTGCAAGCGTGCAATCATGAATTAAATCTCCATTACCAAAAACAAAACAAAAGAAAAAATATGAAGGTTTACAAAATGTCAAAGAAAATATTCAGAGTAATCATTTTTAAACTTCTCAAATATATAAAATAATTACATTATGTCCAGAAATCGTAACAAAGTAAGAAATTTGGCAAAAAAGTAAAGATAATAAATACTAAAGGAAATCTTAGATGAAAAGAACGTAACAGTGAATGAGAAATTGCAGTAGAATGCTTCAACAATTGGAGTGATCAATTGAAAGAATCAGAGATTGAAAACAGAACACACAATTATCTAGTCACTGTAGAAAAAGAAAAAGAAGAATGAGAAACAGGGAACAATTTCTATTGGAATTAAAAGACATTATCAGGAAACCTAAACTAAGTATAATAAAATGTAGAGAAGAAGAGGGAGAAAATGAGCTAGAAAAAGACTTTAAAAAAAAATCTGAGAGAACTCAATAATGCCAAATCCATCATAAAGAACTCTTTTTATGGAAAGAAAATAACTAATGTGTAATATAAAAACATTTCTACACACACACACACACACACATGCACACCGAGCCACGACAATATAAGAAGTCTGCACAAAACTTCAGAATATTTTGATAGTATAATTTAATAGGAAGAATATAGGAATCACTCATCAGGCCCTGCAGGGGGAATTTAGATGATTGACCTTCATTGTGAGGCCCAGCAATTGTACAAACATCAACCTCACAGTAGGACCCTAAGATACACACTATCAACAGTTGAGACTAGTGGGACTGAAAGACCAAATATTAACCTGAAAGGGGAAGATGGCAAAATGAAAAAGCAAAGTGCATTCTCAAACATCTAGTCCATCAGGAACAAGTAGAGGAGACATTGAAATAGAGGACTTCAAAAGTCACATACTGGAAATCTCTGAAAAGACAGCAAATAAAATAAAATAAACAAATTCACGAGGCTATAGATGAAAACAAATAAGAAATAATGTCTTATATAAAGACAGAAATAACAAGCTTAGTAAAAGATTTGCTCAACATAGCAAGAGAAGAAATAGATAAAAAAGTACAGGAACATTGGAAACTTATTGAAACCTCGATGAACAATATAGAAAACAAGCAGAATCCATGAAACAAACTCAAAGAGACATCCAAGACACAAAAAAATCTATTGAAAGTGGGAAAAACTGTTTAAATGAAGCTGAGGAGAAAATTTCAGACCTTGAGGACAAGATCGCAGTTAGCGATTAGGAAAGGATAAAACTTTTAAAAATTAATAAGCAGCATGAAATGACCATCAAGCAGCTTCAAGATGATGCCAAATGAAACAGTCTAAGACTAACAGGCCTCAGTGAAGATGCAGGAGTCACCACTAATGACATCAGTAAACTCTTCTCTGAAGTAATAGCAGAAAATTTCCTAAACAAGAGAAAAATCTGATATGCAGATAAGTGAGGCATATAGAATGCCAGACAGTCATACGTACATAAATCTACACCCAGATATACAATAGTTAAGATCCCAGACCTGCAGCATAAAAACAGAATACTAAAGGATGTTAGAGAAAAGACACAGTTCACCTGCTTAAATGTATTTTATTTAATATAAAATTGTTACACCTCTCATGGGAAGGTTTTATAAACCTTCATTTTATAAACCTTCTACATCGTTCAAACCATAATCATCACCTCTTTAAATGTATTTTATTTAATATAAAATTGTTCACCTATCAAGGGAAACTCAGGATCACAGCAGACTTTTAGCACAAACCCTCAAGTCAAGACGATCATGAAGTAAGGTATTTCAAGCCCTGAATGAAAACAACTTTCAACCCAGATTGATGTATGCAGCAAAAACTTTCATTCAAGTATAATGGAGAAGTGAGACACTTCCGTAACAAACAACAACTGAAGAAATTCATGTCCAACAAACCAACCTTAGAAAGAGTGTTGAAACACATGCCAGATAGAGATAAAGATGACCAGAATCCACAGAAAAACAACAGAGAAAAACCACCAGGTAGGACAAGCAATTAAAAAAGTGGGAAAAGCAGAAAGCAAACAACTGAAAGATAACATGGCAAAGTCGAGTCAGTACATATCAGTTATATCCATACATGTAAGCGGCCTCAATTCACCTATCAAAAGAAATAGGTTGACAGAATGGATCAAAAAACATGTACTATAAAAAAGAGAGGGGAAGAAAGTGCTCTAAGGGATATAACAGCATGTATGTTTAAGTGTGTAAGGTAGATAACCAAATTACTAAGTTTTTGTTGGATCTTTGAAGGGAACTGTTTGCACTCTCACTGCTTGAATGGCCACTTTTTATGCTCTAATTTTGTAACTTGAACAACGATTTCTAAGATGATAATATGTAATTTATCAATTAGTAATTTCTTAGTGTTCATTAGTTTTTGAAATTCTGTATTATTTCTACCTTGTTTCTGTTTTGCTGTCCTTTCTCTTTAAATAAAATTATATATATATATATATATATATATATATATATATTCATATACATACACCTCTAGAACAATGTAAGAAGTGTGCCAAAATCTTCAAAATATTTTAATAGCATAATTAATATCATTAATCACATATCCTAAGGGGAAATATTCCAAGATAGAACACATAAATAATAAATGTAATAATTTGTTAAGGAATATGCAAAATAAAAATTACAAGTGGATAAAGTAACATTATAAAACTATATACTACACAAAGGAGACTTCAACTTTAAGGATAAATTGAGGCTGAAAGTGAATAAATGGAAAAAAAAGATATTCCATGTAAATAGAAACTGAAAAAGAGGTGTAACAATTTTATATTAAATAAAATACATTTAATGTGAAAAAGAATACAGAGAGCCATACAAGTTGGTCATATAATCATAGTAAGGTCACTACAGCAAGACAAAGATTAACCTAAAGGAACACACAAACTATACGGTAATAGAACAAGAACTTCAAAATCACTTTAGAAAGATCATCTGGGCAAAAAAAAATCAACAAAGAAAAAAATAGATTTCACTTTTATTCTATGTCAAATTGACTGGACACTTACATACAGAATCTTTCATATAAGAGCAGAATACACAAGTCAGCTACAAGCATCCTTTAACACAGGATATATACTATGCCACAATCCAAAACAAGATATTCAAAAATATCATAGTCATATCATGTCTCTTTTCTGATCCAGTGATTAAAAAACTAGAAATAAACAAACTAAAGAAATTTGGAAATAGCATAAACATACAGAGTTTGAACAATGTGTTTCTAACTGATGTGGCAGCACACAGCTATATCCCAGGACCTTGGATGTGGAGACAGAAAAATTGTACTGTTTAAGGCCAGCCTGGGTTCTGTGATGTGTTCAATCCCAGCTTAAATGACAGAGTAAGATCCTGTTTCAAAACAAGAGAAGACAAATAAAGACAAAACAAAATAAAAGCAGCAATCACAACAGCAACAGTATGTTTTACTGTTCTAAAATGTTTTCCTGAACAACCAGTAGATCTGGTAGAAATTTAAAGAAAATAATGTCGTATAGATGGAATCTTTGACTGGGAAAAAAAAACATTTTAGCTTGAGGACTTTTATATAAAAGGAGCTGAACTCTAACAAGAGTAAGAAAGCACTGTTCAGTTGAAATAGGAGAAAATGGGAAAGAGGCTTCAACTTCAGGAACTCAAGGAGAAAATGATCCAACTCACTCAAAGAACATTTTTGTTTTAAACATTTGAAATGTGAAAGAGCAACACAATTTAAAACTTACAGGATGCAACATATATAGTTCTATGAGGGAAGTTTATAGCAATATGCAATTTCAATTAAAGAAGAAATACTTTAAACAACCTACTAAAGCATTCAAAAAAACAAAAAGAATAAAGGAACATTTAAAATAAGAAAAAAGTGAACTAAAAATTAGTAGTAGGCAAGAAATAACAAAGATAAGACTGCAAATAAATGAAATAAATACCAAAACTTACAAAGAGATGCTTTTTTGTTAAAGATAAAATCATCAAAGTTTTAGTTGAGCTAAAAAAAGAATGTTTTCTCATTTGATAAATACTATACTTTTAAGCATATTGGCTGACCATAGTTTAGTCCCGCAAACACCCATCTATGATTTGCCATTGGATCAATATTAGCTAAACAACTTGAGGAACACCTTAAGGGTACAGAGCACTTAAGGAATGGTCTAGGGTCATGGAGGGCCAGGGAGAACAGATGTTCCACCTCAGGACAAAACAAGCAAGCTAATTGAGCAAGTGAGCATCACATTAAAAACGTATACTAAAGTCATTGAGGTTGAGCAGTTTCTGCCTGCCACCCAGAGGAAGGGTTCAACCTGTTTTCAGCTTTCTGTCTTTATCTTTATTTTCTTTATCCTCCCCCATTCCCTGCTCTGGGAACTTAGCTCTCCTGAATGTAATGATAAGTCAAATAAAAATTTCACAAGAATGATGAAAATCAAAAAGTGTAATAGAATACTTGGAAATATAAAGTTGTCTTAAACAAAATTGGTCATTTTACACAGCAAAGAGGAAGCAGAGCAGGAGCACAAAGCAGAGTAACAGACAAGGAAGAGAAGGATGAAAGGGGAAATGTGGGAGGAAGTGAATAAAGATCAGGAAGAAAAGCATGATGAAGAAGAATAGGAAGAGGAGGAGTAAAATGAAGAGGAAGAAAAAGAAGAAAAGGAAGAACAAGAAGAAGGAGGACAAAAGAATATGGTAGATATGATATTTTAAGACTATGCAGAGTGGTTTAAGTTCTGCTGTTTGTGAGTCTCACCTGTGCAGACAACTGCAACACCTCTACCATGCTGGCAGCTGCCTCCGGGACAGGGCACTCTGGGACACAACCGGAGCTCGGGCTCCTGTCCCTCACACTGGAACACTTCATTCCATACCTGTTCACTGGTATTTCTGGACACATTTCCAAGAACAGACACAGCCTTACCACACCCCAGATTTGCACAGATGACTTGGGCAGTGGGGAACGTGAAGTTCACATCAGACACCAGAATCCAGCCTCTTCCAGAGTTCACTTCCACTCTTCCAGAACAGAGTCCATTACTTCCACCCAGACGCACAAATCCTGTGTGCAGTAAAGACACAATGATCGTCCTTGTTCCAGGCATAGACTCTGTGAATGATATGCTAGAGATTCTATTGTTAAAGCATTTCTTTTTCCAGAGCTGGTTCATAGGGGAAGTGGATGGAAACTTGATGTTAAAATTGGAACCACAGGAGAAAGTGTTTGGTAATAAATTCAGCAAGAATTTTCAGTGTCAGTTCAGAATTTTCCAACCTTTGAGAGGAACATCAGAATTCTGATCCTTTGATGCCTTTGATATCAAAGCACATCTATTGATCTACCATTCATCTGTGCACCTATCTATAAATTATTTTCCTCTTTTCTATGATCTATATAGTTCCAGTGAATTAAGCTTCAAGTAACAAAAAAGTTAGGCTTAGTTTTCATTTTTCATCACTTAGAATATTTCTGTACCTGCATAATAATATCAATGATTAACAGTTGTCAAAGAATGAAATCTTTTCAGTATTCATTTAAATCTCTCAATTTACATTATTTTCCCATTTAGACATGAGAGTGAGGCCCACAAAGTAAAGAACAAATGAAGCAGAAACCATGTTGTGACACTAAAATGTCTAAGGTGTATATATTTAATCTCTCACCCAGAAAACAGAAAGAATATTGAGAAACTGGATCAGAAGTAACTAAGCCCTTGAGCCTTCATCATTTTTGTTGTTGATAGTTTAGTTTAAACAAATTGTCACTCATAAGTTAAATTTAAAGAAATCAGGAAAAACTTAGAGAAGTTGCTTAGAAAGTAATTTTTAGGTTGAATTCAGAATCCATAAAGACATCTGACTACAAATATGAACTATTTACTAACAAACTTTATTAATAATTAAGTAAAGCAGTAGTTGACTTTCTCAAGAAAAAGATATCCAATAATGTTTTGTTCTCCAATAAGTAATTTGAAAAGAATAGTTAATATGCTAGTCTATTTTATTAATGTACTGCCTTTTGACAGTATAGCTGGGTATCTCCTATTTCTGATGGTTGACAAGAACATCAAAGTCCAGGTTATGAAGTGTCTCTATAAGGTCATTTAAATGATATTATAGGAAGCTTTGCATTGACTTTTGACTTAGGTGGTAGCTTCAACACTGCGATCTAATAAGCTTTATTTAAAAGGTATTTCATAATAGCAACAGGATGTTGGTAAAATACATTACTTGGGAAGTAAAAATACAACTAAACTACATAAGTTTTTAAAGTTTTATAGATTTGAAGATCAGGAGACCTGCGACTGTGGGTTGAAACTTCACTATTGACACTGGTGGTCAGAGACAGGTGCAATAGTGATTATGATCCCCACTGCCAGGCAGAGAATAATTCTGAATGGCTGTGAGCTCTGCTTTCCACCCAGGTACATATGTACATTAGGGGTTCCTAAAAGATCACCAACAAAGATCACCAACCATGCAGGACCAGACTTCATTCTAACCATTTCTTGTTTGAATTTTCATTACATATTTTGCTTTTTAGCTAACAAAAAGAGTGATAGACTGAATAAATTCAGAGAGAACACCAATTTCTTTTCTTTAAGTTTAATGTTCTTTTCTTGTTCATTTTTTTTAATATTGATACTTGAATCAGAGCCTTCATATTGAGTCATATTCTAGCCCTATAGTTTTGATTATAGGATATTGACAAGATATTAATATATTACCCAAGTTAAGCTCGAATTTGAGAAGGTACTGGGATTTCCAGTCACTGGTCCTATTTTTTCAACTTCTATAGTAACACAGATTTAGAGGCTATTTTTTCACTCACTCCTCACTTGAGTCCTTAGATCTCTTGTGGATGACTAAAGCAGAATGAAACCTTCACATCTTTGCTTTATTTGCATCTGTTTCCTTTTCTTCCTTAATCTTGAGGCTAATTCCTGGTTAACCTGCCATACTTTTCATCAAATGGTCCTAGGATTCTACTGTCCTGCCTAAAATATGAATGAATTCACACAATCTTGTCTTTTGAGTTGTACTTTTCTGAGTCATTTCCCTATCTGTCACACTGCATTGCAGAAATAACAAATGTAACCCATGTATATATTTCAAGGTTAAAATACTTGCACCTCAGTCTTCAAAGTATAGATATTATGAAGAAATCATTTCCTGAATTGTCCTGCACTTCACTGACATCAATGGCATTTCAGACAAGAAATGAAAGCATGTCCACAGACCCAGAACATTAAGGAAACATCTTTGCTCTGCTGGCTTAAGGATCTTGGTGCCCTGTTAGCAAAAACCTATCGATGTCTCATGTGAGAGTTTGACACATATCAACAGAAAGCTTCTTGTACCATTAAAGCCACAGAAATGCGCATGGATTCCTGGAAATATGTAAATGTAGTACTACTTTTTCAAAAAGATTAAGCATTACATATTTAAGCCTTTGAGTTGTCCAGTGAAAAGTCAATCTCTGTTGCCCCTTCTCTCCCTAGAACTCTTTGTTATTGTATTACTTGGGTACTACTGTCAATGTCTTTTCATTATGGTGTCTTTTAGGTATAACATTTAAGATTCACATGTGTTCCTCAGGACCAAAGTTACCTGTACTCTTGAGCTTTGTCTCTTTTGAAAGCTCAGTGGACATAGTGTCTTTCTCATCAAATCACAGCAAGAAGAAACAGAATGGTTTCTGGAGGCCCTGAGATTGATGAAGATAAAGGCAGATTTGGAAATGATGAAGTGTGGACCAAAAAGTGCTTCACAAGAGGCAAATTTGAGCTTTCTGAGTAGAGTTTATATTTTTGTAGGAGACAGGTGTTTAAAGACCATACTGAAAATCCATTTCCACATACCTTTTCAAAATTTGAACATTTTTTCAAGTTTTTTTTTAATGCACTAGAAACTTCAGTGGGTAGTGAATATGTAACACACATAAAAACACTGGCTATGTTTTTTTTTTTTTTTTTTTTTTTTTTTTTTTTTTAAGAGCAGGAGGCGCAGGATTGGCCTTAAATCTTTTTGAGTGGGGAAACAAACAGATCTTTTTAGGTCCTAAGCTCCCTAATGCATTTATCTTAGCTCTTAAAGCCATTAGGAATAAACTATACTTGATCTTAGCCAAAAGGCAAAGAAGCAGTCCAATCACAGATAATCTTTTATCTCTTCCCATTATATACACACATTGGAACATATCCAGTATGGTATGATTCAGCAGTATATAGATAAACTAGGATACATTGGAGCTGGAGTTCCTATGATTTTTGTTTTGTAAATCACAGGCCATTGGGCTTTCCAGTTGCAGGAGAAATACTGCTTATGCCTGAATAGGAAAAAGAGACTTCTGAAATAGTGTAATATAGCACTCTTCTACCACATTTCTGAAAATAATGGGGCAGATTTAAAAACTAGGTTAAAGCAACTAGTTTTGAAATTTTAAAGTATTTTCTTCTTTCAATGGAAAGGTAATAATTTTAATATTCTTTTTTTAAAAAACAAATATTTAAAGCAAAAATACAAATTTTCAAATTATTGTTTTTTGGTCTTTTTGCCTTTGTTTTAAAAATTTATTTTAAAGAGGGTAAAACTAAACATAACAAAACAGAACTATGCAGATCAGAAGTAAACAATGTAAGTGACACAGATTTCAAAGCAAGACAACAGGAGATAATCATAGACTATCATATTGTCTATTGTTTTCTTCTAAATAGTTGTCCATATCTTCACACAATGAATTCATAAAAAACAAAATAGTGTTAAACTTATCAGAACAGAATGATGAATGCACCCAAAACCAGAAAATAGTGAAATCAACAATGGCTGCCATAATGTCTCTCATTCTCTTCCAAATAGTTGTCCATGCCTTTTTGTATGTGACAAACAAACAGTACAAAACAGAATAAGATCACTCTGAACAAAGAATAATAGTATTTCTGGATTTCACAGCATGACACTACAGAATCAACACTGGGTACCATAGCATCTCTTTTTTTTGAAAGTAGCTGTTCATTCATTATGCATTATAAAATAGATTCCCATAAGCTGTGTAGGAGAAGTTCTATGCCTGTATGAGTCTTTGCATATATACCTATCCTTCTTTACTAGAGGGGAACATAAAACAAAACAAATTCCTAAAAAAAACATGAAACAAAAAGACAAATAAATAAACGATAGCAAAAATCCCAAGATCACTGACAATATAGGCCTTCAAAACAAGGTGGTAGGAGCATAACTAGTCTTGTTATTTTACATAATGATCTTCAAGAGTTCCTTGGGTCACCAAAACATAATATGCACAATTGTTCCAATTCTATGAATGTTAACTATTTTGTTCCAATGATTTAAAGAATTTGTAGCACAGTCATCTTAGTTATCTTGTGTGTTTAGAGTTTAGATAATTTTCTTTTTTCTTCCTTCTTCTGTTTCATCAATTTTCCCTAAGATATTATTTTTCCCTTTAAGCAGAATTTTATCATTTCACCGTATTTATTGAGTTTTTGTATCTTATGTACTCTTACCATTTCTTATACTAGGGAGACTATACATGAGTTTGATTTATTTCACTTATGGATATTTATACATGAGTTTGATTTATTTCACTTATGGGTATGGTCTCAAGTTGCTTCCATTTACTTATAAATATATCAATGTGGTCTATCTTCACTTTCATCAAGGTGGTTTTGCCAACTTTTGATGGAATTTGTTTTAATTTTTTTATTTTAAATAGAATAAAACAAAAGAGGACAGAACAAAACAGATTAGAACACAATAATGTAAGCCACACAGCACTTCATAACAGGACAATCAGATATTAATTGTAGCTACCATAATGTCTCTTTTCTTTGAAATAGCTTAGCATATTTTCACATACAATAATATCAAACATAACAAAATAGTATAAAACCATTCAAGAGAAGGAAAGTATTAAAGGATATTCAGAACCAAAAATACAGAAATTGAACAATAGCTATTATAATATCTCATTTTCCATAAAAATTGTTTATGCTATCACACATGTTAAAAGCAACATGATAGAACCAATGGAAATAGAACAAA